CCATGTCACATGTTGCATGTTACCCATGTACCTGTCATGTGACCTGTGTCATGTGCACCTGTCATGTCACTTGTACACCTGTAATGCAAGGCAGGACTACAAAGGGGTCTGGAGAGGCTGCAAGCCTGGACCAACAACTGGCTTCTAGAGTTCAACACCACTAAGTGCACAGTCATGATGACTGGGGAAGGTGAAAGAAGACCGGAGACGGAATACAGTCTAGGGGAACAAGGACTGCAAACCTCACTCAAGGAAAAGGATCTTGGGGTGAGCATCATACCAAGCACATCTCCTGAGGACCACATTAACCAAATAACTGCTGCAGCATATGGTCGCCTGGCAAACCTAAGAATAGCATCCGACACCTGAGTAAGGAATCATTCAAGACTCTGTACACCGTGTGCGTCAGGCCCATACTGGAGTATGCAGCATCAGTATGGAACCCACACCTGGTCAAGCACGACAGGAAATTAGAGAAAGTGCAAAGGTTTGTAACAAGACTAGTCCTGGAGTTAAGGGACATGTCTTACGAGGAGAGGTTAAGGGAAATCGATCTGACGACACTGGAGGATAAGGGGGATAGGGGGATATGATAACGACACATAAAATACTGAGAGGAATTGACAAGGTGGATAGTGTCAGAATGTTTCAGAGATGTGACACAGCAACAAGGGGACACAGCAACAAGGGGACACAGCAACAAGAGGACACAGCAACAAGAGGACACAGCAACAAGAGGACACAGCAGTATGGGGACACAGCAACAAGGGGACACAACTACAAGGGGACACAGCAACAAGGGGACACAACAACAAGGGGACACAGCAACAAGGGGACACAACAACAAGGGGACACAGCAACAAGGGGACACAGCAACAAGAGGACACAGCAATATGGGGACACAGCAAACAAGGGGACACAGCAAAAAGGGGACACAACAACAAGGGGACACAACAACAAGGGACGCAACAACAAGGGGACACAACAACAAGGGGACACAACAAGGGGACACAACAACAAGGGGACACAACAACAAGGGGACACAGCAACAAGGGGACACAGCAACAAGGGGACACAACAACAAGGGGACACAGCAACAAGGGGACACAACAACAACGGGACACAGCAATATGGGGCCACAGCACAAGGGGATACAACAACAAGGGACACAACAACAAGGGACACAGCAACAAGGGAACACAGCAACAAGGGGACACAACAACAAGGGGACACAACAACAAGGGGACAACAGCAAGGGGACACAACAACAAGGGGACACAGCAACAAGGGGACACAACAACAAGGTGACACAGCAATATGGTGCTACAGCAACAAGAGGACACAACAACAAGGGGACATAACAATAAGGGGACACAACAACAAGGGGACACAGCAACAAGGGGACACAACAACAAGGGGACACAGCAACAAGGGGACACAACAAGGGGTCACAGCAACAAGGGGACACAACAACAAGGGGACACAGCAAAAAGGGGACACAGCAACAAGAGGACACAGCAATATGGGGCTACAGCAACAACGGGACAAAACAACAAGGGGACACAACAAACAAGGGGACACAGCAACAAGGGGACACAGCAACAAGGGGACACAACAAGGGGTCACAGCAACAAGGGGACACAACAACAAGGTGACACAGCAATATGGTGCTACAGCAACAAGAGGACACAACAACAAGGGGACATAACAATAAGGGGACACAACAACAAGGGGACACAGCAACAAGGGGACACAACAACAAGGGGACACAGCAACAAGGGGACACAACAAGGGGTCACAGCAACAAGGGGACACAACAACAAGGGGACACAGCAAAAAGGGGACACAGCAACAAGAGGACACAGCAATATGGGGCTACAGCAACAAGTTGGCAAAACAACAAGGAGACACAACAACAAGGGGACACAGCAACAAGGGGACACAGCAACAAGGGGACACAGTAACAAGGGGACACAACAACAAGGGGACACAGCAAAAAGGGGACACAGCAACAAGAGGACACAGCAATATGGGGACACAGCAAAAAGGGGACACAGCAACAAGGGGACACAACAACAAGGGAACACAACAACAAGGGGACACAACAACAAGGGGACACAACAACAAGGGAACACAACAACAAGGGGACACAACAACAAGGGGACACAACAAGGGAACACAACAACAAGGGGACACAGCAACAAGGAGACACAGCAACAAGGGGAAACAACAACAAGGTGACACAGCAATATGGGGCTACAGCAACAAGGGGACACAACAACAAGGGGACACAGCAACAAGGAGACACAGCAATATGGGGCCACAGCACAAGGAGACACAACAACAAGGGACACAACAACAAGGGACACAGCAACAAGGGGACACAGCAACAAGGGGACACAACAACAAGGGGACACAACAACAAGGGGACACAACAACAAGGGGACACAGCAACAAGGGGATACAACAACAAGGTGACACAGCAATATGGGGCTACAGCAACAAGGGGACACAACAACAAGGGGACACAACAACAAGGGGACACAACAACAAGGGAACACAGCAACTAGGGGACACAACAACAAGGGGACACAGCAACAAGGGGACACAACAAGGGGACACAGCAACAAGGGGACACAACAAGGGGACACAGCAATATGGGGCTACAGCAACAAGGGGACAAAACAACAAGGGGACACAACAACAAGGGGACACAGCAACAAGGGGACACAACAAGAAGGGGACACAGCAAAAAGGGGACACAACAACAAGGGGACACAGCAATATGGGGCTACAGCAACAAGGGGACAAAACAACAAGGAGACACAACAACAAGAGGACACAACAACAAGGGGACACATCAATATGGGGCTACAGCAACAAGTGGACACAACAACAAGGGGACACAACAAGGGGACACAACAACAAGGGACACAACAACAAGGGGACACATCAATATGGAGCTACAGCAACAAGGGGACACAACAACAAGGGGACACAACAACAGGGGGACACAACAACAAGGGACACAACAACAAGGGGACACAACAACAAGGGGACACAACAAGGGGACACGTCAGTATGGGGCTACAGCAACAAGGGGATACAACAACAAGGAGACACAACAACAGGGGGACACAACAACAAGGGACACAACAACAAGGGGACACAACAACAAGGGGACACAACAAGGGGACACAACAACAAGGGACACAACAACAAGGGGGCACAACAACAAGGGGACACAACAACAAGGGGACACAACAACAAGGGACACAACAACAAGGGGACACATCAATATGGGGCCACAGCAACAAGGGGAAACAACAACAAGGGGACACAACAAGGGGACACAACAACAAGGGGACACAACAACAAGGGGACACAACAACAAGGGGACACAACAACAAGGGGACACAACAACAAGGGGACACAACAACAAGGGGACACAACAACAAGGGGACACAACAACAAGGGGATACAACAACAAGGGGACACAACAACAAGGGGACACAACAACAAGGGACACAACAACAAGGGACACAACAACAAAGGTGTTGCAACCCCTGAATGGGTTACAATGATTATTATGTATATATATAATTATTACTTTTTCATTTAATTTTATATAGCTTATATTTGCGATAATAGCTAAATCGTAAATGTATTGCTTTATATTGTTATTTGACGTAGTTTCCTTTGTTAGGTAGGATGTAACATATTATGTGCTCAATTCAAGTCTTGATTGTCTAACTACTGTAATTATCGCTCTTTGCTCGTTATTCTGCCGGCTTCTGAGCTGCAGTTGTCCACGGAGCTATCACGTGATCGAGGGGGGGTGTCCTCACCTCGCTTGAAGTATTCAGTCTGGTCTAGACTCTCTTGGTGGTTGGACAGATTGTCTGTCTCATTATTCTTGTTAGTTCTGTAGAACTCTGTTCACAGAACATTGTATAGACTTAGTGATTTTCGACGTTGTACTGAGGTTGTGTCGCTTAGACACTCTGAGTAACTCAGGTCCTGAACTATAGCTTATGACCTAATTTGTACTGGTATCTGTGTACTGTCACAGTCGGGGATTTTCTTATGCTGAACTTAGATTCAGTAGTATGGGAGTTTTGTAACTTTTGTGGAGGATCTGCTGATGGTCCCTACTTAGTGTCATTATATTATCTCCTTGTTCCTGATTCTGTGTCGCAGTTGCTTGTTGTATTGCTATTGGGCTTTAGCATTCTTTTTGTTGTTCAAGCAGACTGTTCTGATTGCCATTTGGTCAAGAAGTTAGTTTATTTGAGGACTTTGTCAGTCACTTGTTTAAGTCTAGTCGAGTCGTGAGACATAGCGAACTACTTAGAGCACTTACAAGTATACACAAACTTACTTGTACATATTTGTAATATCTTATTAAATGTTAATGTACCAGACGGTACTTAAGAATTATAAATGTGATATGTCCTTTCAACACAAAAATACTGTAAATGAGAGAAGTGATTATTCTTATTTTGTTGATATTGATTTAATTTAATTTGATATTCCTCTAGACAACTTAATGATTAATAAATTTATTAAATTTTAATTTCTCTAGTTAGTAGCCTACCAGTTGTAATCCTGAAGCACTATTGAATCATACTGAATTCTAATGGATAATTGGACAAGGATACTGACTACTTGTTACGAAAACCCAGTAACAGGCTGGATGCTAGAAGGGCAGTCCTATCTAGTATTCACTGGAGATCTCTAAGCTTTTAGAATCGCGTTTTTTGTAACAAAAGGGACATATCAATATGGGGCCACAGCAACAAGGGGACACAACAACAAGGGGACACAGCAACAAGGGGACACAACAACAAGGGGACACAGCAACAAGGGGACACAACAACAAGGGGACACAGCAACAAGGGGACACAACAACAAGGGGACACATCAATATGGGGCCACAGCAACAAGGGGACACAACAACAAGGGGACACAACAAGGAGACACAACAACAAGGGGACACAGCAACAAGGGGACACAACAACAAGGGGACACATCAATATGGGGCCACAGCAACAAGGGGACACAA